AATTATACAAAATACAAAGCATTGGTATTGAAATGATTTACATATTTAAAATAGAGGGCAAATGTGTTTACAAATGAATCAATGAATTTGAATAATCCAATCAATCAATCAATGACTTCTAAACGTTAGCAAAAACCGAGTTATTGGACGTATTTTCAGTTAAACTGGTGTTAGTATCGGTGGCGTCGGCCGTTTGGTCTTCAGGTCTGGGTTGAGATGAGTTCTCGTTAGTACTCGAGAGTATAACAGTCCGTCTCTCCATACGCTTCTCTTCGATTATGTTTGGGTTTATTGTCACAGATTTAGTGCAGTTATAAGTCTTATAAATGCCAACCAAACGATCGGCCAATTCGTACATATTGTTGCGAAGAGAGATTATAATGAACTGAGTATTCCGTGTCCTCTGTTTGATATAATTGGCGACAATCGAGACATTCTTGAAATCGAGCGCCGCATCGATTTCGTCCATCACATACAGCGGCGACGGCTTATAGTAATGGAGAGCGAAGATGAGCGCCAGTGAGGAGAGAGTCTTCTCACCGCCCGACAGGTTTGATATCTTCTTCCACGTCTTCTTATTCGGTCGCACAGAGAATGTGACGCCTTCTGCGAACGGATCCATTGAGTCGATGAACTCGAGCTCCGCGTCGCCGCCCATTGTTATCATTCGATACATTTCTTTCAACTTCCGGGCGATTGTAATGAAGCCGTCTTTGAATTCCTTGACGCGAAGGTTTTTGATTTCGTCGAATTGACTCTTAAATGTGTCTCTTTTGGCGGTTATCTCTTCCAACTCTTTCCAACGCTCCAGAAAAAGGGTCTCTTTTTTCTTGAACTCCTCGATCGCAGCCATATTTGGTTTCATTTTCTTCAGCTCTTTCTCCAAATTCTCGATTCCTTTTTGTAAGGAATTTGGGCTTAAATTCTCGATCTCTTCGGCCGTCAATTCGGGTATTGAAGGCTTCTCTTTGTCGTCGATTACGTGGAGTTCGAGTGCGGCAATCATTTGAGTCAAGCGCCGCACTTCGGCCTCTTTGTCGTCGAGTTTGGTCTTCTGCTGTTCGACTTCGTGTTTGGCGTCAATGTTCTCGTTATTCAGTTTCACTTCTTGTGCCTTAATTTTGCTAATTTTGCTTTGAATGGCTTTCAACTTAGTGTCCGCCTCTTCGCGCTCATTGACCGCCGCCTCGTATTCGGCCGACAGTTGTGTCGCTTCTGTTTCCAGTGTTTTGAGTTCTTCTTTCGTTTGCGACAAAGTATTCAATGCTTCAGTTTTTTCTTCTTCAAGTGATTTCAGTTTTTCCTTCGATTTCTCGATATTGCGCTCACATGTAGTCAACGCAACGTTTGCTTTATTCAAATCAGTGCTAATCCTTTTGGATTGAGAGTTAAGTTCGTCGACTTTCTTACGAGCGGTTCCCACCTTTTTCTCCATTAATTCGCTGATCTTGTCATTCAATTCATCCAATTCTTCGTTATGTTTGGAACACTTTTGTTCCTCTTTTTCATACTTTTTAGTTTCGCTTTCAGTCTTAGCCTCGAGTTGTTTGACTTTGTTTGGGTCGGGCGCGGACTTCTTCACGCGTTCCTCTTGTTCTTTGATAGACTTCTTGAGTTCGGAATCAATTTTGTCGAACTCTTTCACTTCCATTTCAAACTGAGGCTTATTTCTCTTCATAACATTAATGTCTTTCAAATGTCTCTCAATTTCGGTCCTCAAGTCTTCTAACCTATTATTGATTTCATTGATTTTATTCTTCAAACGATTCACTTCTTCTTCGAGTGTTTGAATTTCTCTTTCGTCCACTTCTGTGACGGCAACAGAGGAACCGATCCTTCCAGTAGAGGGTCGACCGCCACCAGACATAGTACCGGACGTTTCGTAGAGTTCGCCCTTAAGTGTCACCACTCGATACCTTCTACCGCCGCCTTTTGGTGCCGATATTCTGTGCGCCTGATCTATGTCTTTGGCGACGAGTGTATCCCTTAATCCATAATAAAAGGCTACTTTCACTCTCTCGTCGTTAACTCGAATCAGATCGAACAGACGGGACACGCCTTCGGGATAATTATCGGGTTGAGTCACTTGACATGATTTAGACATTTTATCCAAAGCTATTAACTTTGCAAATCCGATGTTATTCTTCTTGAGATAATTGAGACATTCGGTCGCGTCGTCTATGGTTTCGGTGATAATGTTGTCGAGGGGTCCGCAGGCGGTCGAGACGGCGCAGTCATACTTCGGGTCAATGGCTCCCAAGTCTCCCAATCGGCCTAATATTCCCTTAAGATTACCCTTTCTTTTCTGATCCATTATAGAGTTTAAAACTCTATTTCGAGAGCGCGTGTCGACCGCCGAGTGTCTCAAAGATTGCAAATGATTGTTACGATTAGTGTATTCTTCAGTCAATTTGTGCTTATTTTGCTCCAATTTGTCGATCTCTTCTCGCATTTCTTTGGCCTTATTCTCCGATAAAGGGATTTCCGTCTCAAACCTATTCAACGCGTGGCGCTTATCCCTGGCATCCGTTGTATTCTTGTCGAACTGAGAGTTCAATTGCTGNAAAACGCTTAACTTCTTTGAGCGCAACTTTTGAGCCCTGTATCCAAACACGAAGAGCATAGAGTCGATCACATTGGACTTCCCGGACCCGTTCGGACCCACTATCGACGTAAAGCTCTGCACAGACACCACACTTAGAGGCGACCACAAAAGGGATCCCATTATACGGCACTCACGCCAAGACATACCTTATGAAAGGGACCCAACAGTTGTCGGTTTGCGTAAGACTTGAAGTTAATGTTTTCGATGTGTGTAATGACGAGTCGGACTCCAGTCTCATCTCCGCTATACGACGGCTTCGGCGGCGCCGGAGGTATGAATATATCGCCCAATCCTTAGACATAAGACACAACACATAACGCGTTAAACACAACAACAATAACCGTTCAAATGGTTGTCCAAACGAGTACTCACTTCTGCCGCCCTCTTCGTCGTCGTAATGATCCGCGTCTTCGTCGTCGTCGCCGACGCGGGGGTCGGGAGTCGTGTCCACACACTTGTCGTCCGTTTTATCGGAAGCCATGAGTGAGTGTTGTGTCGATTGTGTCCGCAATTCAACGCATTTCTCGTCAATTATTTCAATGAAATCTCAATAAAGTCAACGAATGGCGGGAAACCAAATGCTCGGGTCATTCGCAACAACTGTATCGTTATTTAGGGGTTTGACACACAATAAACCTACTTTTCATTGAGGGGGCGGTTATAGGGGTTTGCCTTTACGTCTGAGAACACGATATTTGTTAATGAGATATAATAATAGAGATGACGGCATTAGTATAATGTTCACAACAACTGTTACGCGATGTAAGGGGTGTTGCGTTCAATAAATTGAGAAAAATGTCATATAATATGATTAATGTTAGAATATAGGGGTTTTGACAAAACAGTTTTGTAGTAACAGAATATAAGAATGAAATGTATTGTTAGGCAAAAGGCTGAATGCAATGAAAAGTGAAAACAAAATGTAAACAAAAAGTTGAGACAAAACTGAATTTGAATTTTGAAATCAATGCAAACATTGATTGCGATTATTGTGTAAAACATTTAAATGGCATTAATTTGA